GAGAGCGGCCCGCACGTCGTCGGGCAGCGCGTCCATGCGCGCGAAGCAGCCCGGCCGACGCGGGTGCAGGGTGCGCGGCGCGCGAGGCAGCCCGGCCGACGAGATCCTAGCTCCCCATCGTGCTCGAGTGCATCATCATGAGTTGCAGCTCGTGATGCACATGCGCAGCTTAGTACCGCGCCGCGCGGCCATCGCGCGCGCGCGCTGCGGCGCCGGCGCCGGGCTGCGCCCGGCCGGCGAAGATTCCAGGCGCGTCGCCGCGGTCACGCGTCCTCCCCGGCCGGCGCGAGGGGCGTGTCGAGCCCCTTGGCGCCGGCGAGCGCCATCTCCTGGAGGAAGACGTGCTGGTGCCAGAGGGCGCAGCAGTAGCAGAGGAAGCCGCCGAAGGCCGGCTTGTCGTCCTTGATCTCGTAGGCCGCCTTGAGCCGCTCGCGCTGCGCGGTGACGAGCGCGGCCGCGGCGCAGGAGAAGTTGATGGGCGCCGCCGGCGGGACGCCGAAGCAGTAGACGACGGGGCAGAGGCAGCAGCAGGCGGCGAGGCCCTTGTCGCCCATCTCGCAGCACTTGGCCTCCTCGCCCTGGACGAGCGTGACGGTCTGCCCGAAGGGAATGCACGTCGCGTTGACCGCCTGGGGGCAGAAGCCGGGGCACCAGGTGCAGTCCTGCGTCGACTCCGGGCACTTCTGGGCGCAGAACTCGACCTTCTTGCAGAGCACGCAGCCCAGGGCCTTGTTCTTGTACTTCAAGGGGCCGTCGGCCCGGATGGCGTCCCAGCGCTCCTGCGCGAGTTTCTTGTCGACGTCGAAGGTCTTGACCTGAACACAATCGGTGGCTGGGACTTTGTGGGAGGTGAGCTGGCCTCCGTTTGGCGAGTCTGGGGCAAATCCTGAGGCCAATATTGAATGCTTCGAGGCCCTCCCATCACGATGCGCCGCGCCGCCGCCGCCGCGCTCCTCCTCCACGCGAGCCTCGTCGCCGCCTTCGCACCGCACCACTCCGTGCGACGACGGCACGCGCCGCTCCTCGGGGGCACGTTCCGCGACGCCCAGCGCGAGCTCATGGACGGCGGCGCCGAGGTGGAGCTCAGCGGCGACGCGCTCCTCGCCGAGGCCATGGCCCTGGACTTCATCGCGGCGAACGTGGAGATGCGGTCGCCGCGCTGCGTGGCGGGCGTCGCCGTCAAGAACGCGGGGCGGTCCATCGCGGACGTCGGCGCGAAATTTCGGAACAAGGGCGGCCTCGAGCTCGCCGCCTACGCGATGGACGAGGCCGGCGTCTACATGGGCGAGGCGGCCAAGGCCTTGAACAAGCTCGACGACGCCGGCGCCGCGCCGGCGTCGCGGGCGGCGGCCGACGTCGCCGGCGCGCTGTCGCGCACGGGCAAGGGCCTCTACGACCAGTCGCCCGACGCGACGGGCGCGGGCCTCCTCGAGGCCGCCGCGGCCTACGAGGCCCTCGCCGGCGCCCTCGGCGGCGTCGCCGCCCTCGCCGGCGCGGCGCCGAAAATGGTCGCGGGCGCCTCGCGGCTCCGCGACGGCGGCGACGTGCTCACGGGCGCGGCCGTCGAGGTCGCGGCGCCCAAGAAGCCGCGGCGGTGGTAAAAAGGGAGCTATAGTGCAAAACGTGGGGGGGCGTTGGCGGCGGCCTAGTACTGGGTCTTCAGCACGAGCACGGCGAGCACGACGACGACGATGACGAAGAGCAGGAAGCACGCGAAATACATGCAGCACTTGTTCTTGGCCGTGCGCTTGCGCACGGCGCGCTCGAGCTGGCGCTGGCCCTTGACCGTGCGGTCGTGGGACTGGGCCACGAGCTGCTCGATCTCGTCGACGTCGTCCTGCTGCGACCCGACGAGCGACGCGAGGTCGCGGTAGATCGCGTTGACCGTGGACACCTGGCCGCTGATGCGCTCGATCTCCCGCTCGCGCTCGGCCTCGAGCTGGAGGCTGTAGGCGTCCTGCTCCTCGCCGAGGAGCGACTGCGCGAGCGACGAGCCGACGGTGTCGCGTTCGATCTCGAGCGGCGCGTCCGCGGGTCCTCGCCGGTCCTCGGCCTCCTTGGCCTCCTCGAGGTCCCGCGCCTCGAGCTGCTCGAGGCTCCGCAGCGCCGCGCGCAGGTCCCGCTGCTCCTGGCGGCCGAGTTGTTGCGCGTGCGGCGGCCGCAAATTCGCGCCGACGGACTCCGCGAGCGCGCGCGCGGCCTCGACGAGCTCGAGGCGCTCGGGCGCCGCGGCGGCGTCGCGCACGGCCCGCCGCAGGGCCGGGACCATGGCCGCGACGCTCCCGCCGCCCCGCGCCGTCGACGCCGACGACCCCAGGGGCGGCGACGCGCGCGGGCGCTCGCCCTGCTCGGCCATGCCCCACTCCATGGAGTTGGAAAGCGCGCACGCGACGGGGGTCGTGTGTGCGCGCGCGGCGAGAGGAGGCCTCGGCGGACCCCGAAAGGACGCTCTGAGAGGTGCGCCGACGAAGGATGTGCTGCGGATGCTCGAGTTCCGCCGTCTCGCGCCGGGGTTCGCGGCATCCGAATCCGGCGGCACCCTCAGGCTGGCGCTTGCCCCGCGCGCCTAGACCTGGAACTTATGTCGCATGTCGTCGAGGCGGTCGTCCGGGATGAGCGGGCCGTCGAGGCCGGCCTCGCCCTCGGAGGGCCAGTCGTCGTCGCCGCCCTCGCCGAAGTGGGCCTCCTCGAGGTGCTGGACCCAGGACGACGAGCTCAGCAGCGGGTTCAGCGCGCCCTCGACGGGGCCGCCGCCGCCGACGAAGGACGACGCCAACGAGCTCGACGAGAGGTGGAGCCCCACGTTGGCGAAGTCGTCGGTCGACGACGCCGCGGACGCGAGGCCGAGGCCGCGGCGCGGCGACCGCGGGGGCCGCGCGGGCGCCGCGGCCTCGGGCGGCGGCGGCGGCGCCGGGGCGACGGCGTCGTGGAGCATGCTCAGCAGGCTGATGGGCTTCTTCTTCACCTGGGGCGCCGGCTGGGGCACGGCGCCCTTCTTCCCCGGGCCGAGGTCGTCGTCGTCCTCCCCAAAGGCGGAAGCGAACTTCTCGAGGTAGCGCATGACGGCCCTTCGCGCCTTGTTCGCCTGCATGATGTCGACCATGGCCAAACGCCCGGGGGACCGAGCCGTCCGCCCCGGAGCGCCGCCGCACGCGGATCCGTCGACGAGTGTTCTGCAGTTGCCCGCGGGTGCCACGCCGGGCAGCCACTTCCTGCCGGTCGTTGAGTAGCTACGCGAAAAGCACCAATCTCCCGTAACGGAAGGGATATTGCACTCGAGAATGCAGCGAATTCCAACCAACTGTGAAGAAGGCAGCCCGGTCATCCACGATGGCCGCGCCCCTCGTCGTCGTCCCGTCGACGACCCGCCGGCGGTGGGCCTGCCGCGCCGCCGTCGGCGTCGGCGTCGTCGCCGTCCAGGCCTGCCTCTTCGGCGCGCGGCGGCGGCCGGCGGCGCCGGCGGCGCTGGCGTTTGAAACGCGGGGCGGCCCGGCGGCAAGTTCCGGCGGCCCGGCGCCGACGTTCTGGTCCAGTAGCAACCTCGACAAAGCGGCAAAAGTCGTCGACATCGAGGAGCACGTCGCGTCCTTCAACGACCCCATCGTCAGCCAGGCGTGGCTCGTCACCTCGCAGCTCCTCTTCGGCGACGTCGGCGCCGCCGCGGGCGTGCTCGACGACAAGATCGGCGTCCGCGCGACGTCCTACGACTACACGACCCAGACCGACTTCCTCGAGGCGCTGCGCGCGAAGCGCTTGGGCGCGGGAGCCCACGTCTACGCGTCCGTGACGTCCTTGATGGACGACGTCGTCGCCTACGACGAGCTGAAAGCGCTCGGCGTCGACGACGCGACGCTCTTCTACGGCTCGTCGGCGGAGAATACGAACGAGGACGCCTCCTGGCGGCCGGAGTTGGTGCGCGAGTGCGTCTACACCTACGCGGACGACCTGCTGCTCAACTCGAACCTGCTGCGCGCGCTCATGGCCTACGACGAGCCGCTGACGCTCATCTTCGCCGACGACCTCGCGTGCCGCACGCGGCTCCCGGCGACGCACCACCGCCTCATTTTCGCCAACGACGGCGGCTACGGCCAGGTGCTCGACTACCGGAGCCGCGGTCTGGACGCGCACTGGTGGCCCGACGGCCTCGAAGGTTTAGAAGACGACGGCGCCGTCGACGCCTTCGTGGAGGCCGTCCAGGCGGCCCACGCGCCCCACGACCGCGACTACCTCGTCTCCTACGGCGGGTCGACGATCTTCCGGAAGCCGTCCCGCGTGAACCTGGGCAACTACATGACGGCCGGCGGCGGCAAGGCGCGCCTCGTCGGGCTGGGCGACGAGGCGGGTCTCCTCGTGGACCTCGAGTCCTACGCCCTCGAGCAGCAGGACTTCGGGTCCCAGTCGCTGATCCACAATTTGCCGCGCGCCGTCGAGTGGACCGCGGGCGACGCGCCGGAGAACACGACGTCCTACGACGAGATCTCGCGGTCCTACTTCGCCCTGGCGGCCGCGGGCGACGTCTGGGCGTCGGGCCGCGTGCTGGAAGCCTTGACGCTCAACGCGGTGCCCGTCGTCGACAAGACGTACTCCACGGACGGCGGCAGGAGCGCCAAGGGCTGCGCGGACCCCGCGTCGTTCTGGGAGTCGGGCCTCGGGGTGGCAGTCGCCCGCCGTCTTCGTGTCCGACTGGGCGCAGCTGGCGCCGACGCTGACCAAGGCCGGCGCGCTCGACGCCGGCGAGCGGGACGAACGAGTCGCGCGCGTCCAGCCCTACCTCCGCTCCCTCGCGGACGCCCTCCGGTCCACGCTCCTCGGCGGCCACCTCGCGGACCGGCCGCGGACGAGCTGCGCGGCGGCGCCCGTGGCGCCGGCGCAGCGGTCCGCGGACCTCGAGGCCGCCGCGGCCTACTACGACCAACAACCGCCCGCGGGCGTCGCCGACGCTCCGGGCCCTACTGGTTCGACGGCTTCGTGGACAACCCGTCGCTGCCGTCGCCGAACTGCGACCCCAAGGGCGTCACGGGCGCGAGCGCGCTCCTCTGCTTCGACGCGGCGTGCGCGCCCCCGTCCGCGTCGTCCTTCGAATGCGGGCCCCTCTAGTTACTACACGTGCCCCTAGAAGCTCGCCGTGCAGTTGCACATGGGCAGCGTGCAGAAGGGCAGGGCGTACCAGGGCACGTCGCCGAGGCCGTCGTCGTCGTCGTCGCCGTCGCCGAGCTCGTCGCCGCCGCCGACGCGGAAGGGCGTGAGCGGCGCGTCGCCGTCGTCGTCGACGAAGGTGAGGGCCGGCGCCTCGAAGCCCTCGTTGGCGCTGTTGACGCCCGCCTCGTTGACGCGCTCGCTGGACCGGTAGACGTCGCGGAGGAACTCGTCGGTCTTTGGGGAGTCCGACGCGGACCGGGCCGGCTCGTCGCCGCCGAGCGCGCCGTCGTCGAAGGTGAACTTGGACGACCGGGGGCTGAAGGGCCGCTCGACGGCGAAGTGCGTCGGCGACTTGAGCGGCGACAGCTGCGCCGCGGGCGTCGGCGGGTCCTCGGGCGTGTCCCGCGGGGGCATGGACGTGTCGAGCGTCAGCGGCATGGAACGGCGGTGGCGCCGAACGCGCGATGCGGACCGGAGGCGCGCCGGGACAATGAGACGGGACGGACCTGCCCGCGCGGCGGTGCGCCTCGACGACGCGGCGAGGGCTGCCCCCGGCGGCTCAGTCGTGGCTTCGATCGATCATGGGCCAACGGCAGCTCCGTCTCATGTTGAACGTTGCACTTTAGCGTCACGCCTCGGAGTGAACTCGGGCTTTGGGGTCTGGGGTGGTAAAATTTAAACCAAACCGACTGGGGCGTACTCGGGGGGACCTCGGGTGACTTCCCCTGGGTCCCGGGCTAGTTCCTGGCACCTACTTTCTGAGCCAGTCGGTCGGTCGGTCGGTCGTCGTCGTCGTCGTCGCCGCCGCCGCCGCCGCCGCCGCCGCCGCCGTCGTCGTCGTCGCGCGCGCGGGGGAGTTTCGAACCTAATTCAGTCGCAGGGCGACCGTAGACAGGTGATGAGTTGCCCCATGCCAGCTGTCACGGCATATGAACCCGGGGATGCAAAAATCGAGTGGGGGCGCGCCCCGCAGTCGCAGTGATCGACAGTCTCGCCGCGGAAGGCCGCCAGCAGGATTTTTTGCGCTCACGAACCCCGTCGTCGCTGCCCGGCGCAGCACGCGCGCTTTTCGTGCACCACCTGGCGCAAAACGGCGAGGTGCCGGCGCATCACATCATCGCAGCGTTATCCGTCGGTCGAAACGATGCAGTTTTGTACGATTTCGATGAAGTTTTCAATGATTACTTCAATGAACAACCCAAAACGTTTGTTCTTACTACGAGCCGGGGTCCTCACACTTAATTCACCGGCCGCGGTGAGCTTACGGCGCCCGCCGTCGGAAGCGCTTCTTGTTGGAAGTAAGCAAAATCTTACCGATGGCGACGCGCGGTGGAAAATTCCAGAGTGCTGGCGGGGACGAATGGGCAAATTTCTTAGAAAAATGTTCGCACTTAATTCGAGGGCCTGTTCCACGCGTCCAAACGCGTCGGTTTCTGAGGGGTGGGAACAACGCGGGTTAACTTGTCCTCCCCGGAACCCCTCAGCTCAAGTCAGCTCTCGTCGGGCGCGGAGCTCGCCGCCGAGGACCGGCGCGGGCTCGACATGCTCCAGAAGCTCCGGCGGCCGTCGCTCTCGCTCGACGACTTCCGCCGGAAGAGGCGGCCCGCGAGGCTCCCCAAGACCGCGCCGACGGACGACCGCCGCTTCGCCGTGGGCGCCGTCTGCTCCGGCGCCGCGTCCTCGTCGACCTTGGCGGGCCGGTGGATCTCCGGGCCCAGGTGCGTCGAGAGCCGGTCCAGGTGGCCGTCCGGGTCCGCGGCCGAGGACACGCCGCGCGCGCGCTCCAGCTCCGCGAGCTCCTCGTCCTCCTCGATGAGGCTGAGCCGCTTGCTCGGCCGGGGCCGGCAGGTCGTCCGCTGGACGTGGACCTCGCCCCAGGCCGCCGCGCCGCCCTCGTCGCCGCCGCCGCCGATCGCGATGGGGTGGAGCTCGCTCTCGCGGCCCTCCTCCGGCGGCTCGGGCGGCTCGGGCGCCGCGTGGAGCGCGCGCGCCTCGTCGTGGGACAGGATCGTCCGCGACCGCCGCCGCTGCGCCCGCTCGACGAACGCGTCGTCCTCCGCGTCGCAGGGCGGGGGCTCGTCCTCGCTCGGCGGCGGCGGCGGCGCCGTGTGGAGCATCTCCGCTTCGCCCATGTTCATCACCGTGCGCGACCGCCGCCGCTGCGCCCGCTCGACGAACGCGTCGTCCTCCGCGTCGCAGGGCGCGGGTTCGTCCTCGCTCGGCGCCGTCGGCGGCGGCGCCGTGTGGAGCATCTCCGCTTCTCCCATGTTCATCACCGTGCGCGACCGCCGCCGCTGCGCGCGCTCGACGAAGGCGTCGTCCTCCGCGTCGCAGGGCGAGGTTTCGTCGCCTCCGGGGTCGCCCCCCCGCACCTCGTCCCCAAAACGCACGTGGGGACGCTCCGGAACCTCCATGTTGGTCGGGGCAGCTTTGGCTCGGGAGCTCGGTGCAGCAACCAGGAGCGCCGCGACGAGCCGCGGCAGCGCGCGCGCGCCCATGGCCTCCAAGGACGAGAAGCGGGGCCGCGCCCGGAGCAGCTCGCCGCAGAAGCACAGCGCGACGGGCATGTCGTCGCGCAAGGCCATCGTGCTCGGCGTCTGCGCCATGGAAAAGTCGCCGCGCCCGCGTCCGAACCCACACACACCAAACCCACCCCCCCAAACCCCATCCTAGGAAGACGGCGTCGAAGCCCATGCAGGAGATCCTCGGGCGGCTGCCGGCGCAGGTCTTCAAGATCGTCGTCTTCGACGAGAGGACGATCCTCGAGGAGCCCGTCGAGCGGTGGCCCGTCTGCGAGTGCCTGATCGCGTTCCACTCCAAGGGCTTCCCGCTGGGCAAGGCCATCGACTACGCGACGCTGCGCAAGCCCTTCGTCGTCAACGACCTCAAGCGCCAGTACGCGCTCCAGGACCGGCGAAGCGTCTACGAGACGCTCGTGAAGGCCGGCGTGCCGACGCCGCGCTACGTCGCCATGAGCCGCGACTCCGAGGAGGCCCAGACTCTAGAAGAGTACGACGACTACATCGTCGTCAACGGCATCAAGATGGAGAAGCCCTTCGTGGAGAAGCCCGTCGACGCGGACGACCACAACATCAACATCTACTACCCCATGTCGGCCGGCGGCGGCTGCAAGCGCCTCTTCCGGAAGATCGGCAACCAGTCGTCCCAGTACCACGCCGAGGAGAACCGCGTGCGGCGCGACGGCTCCTTCCTGTACGAGGAGTTCGTCGACACGCAGGGCACGGACGTCAAGGTCTACTCGGTCGGTCCCTATTACGGCCACGCGGAAGCGCGCAAGTCGCCCGCGCTCGACGGCATCGTCATGCGCGACGCGGGCGGCAAGGAGCTGCGGTACCCGGTGATTTTGTCCTGGATCGAGAAGGACATCGCCTTTAAAATATATCACGCCTTCAAGCAGACGGTCTGCGGCTTCGACATCCTGCGGACGCACGACGGGCGCAACTTGGTCTGCGACGTCAACGGCTGGTCCTTCGTGAAAAAGTCGCGGAAATACTACGACGACTGCGCCGCGCTCCTCGCCGAGCACATGGAGCACCGGCGCGCGGCGGCCCACGCCTTCCGGCCGCCGGGCAACGCGGACGCGGAATACGGCGCGTCCGACTTCTCCGACGACGGTTTGGCGCTCTGCGCGTCCGCGGACAACAAGGAGCAGAACGCCCACTCCTGGACGGGCGCGCCGCCGAACATCGGCCAGCTCAAGGAGAAGCCGCCCAAACAAAAGCCCAAGTCGTCGACGTCGGCCATGCGCGAGCTCCGGTGCGTCATCGCCGTCGTCCGCCACGGCGACCGCACGCCGAAGCGCAAGCTCAAGGTGAAGACGTCGGCGCCCCCGCTCGTGGCGCTCCACCGGGAGCGGGCGAAGAGCGCCAAGAAGGAGGTGAAGATCAAGGAGTCGAAGGACCTCAAGGCCTTCGCGGACCTCCTCGGCGACGTGCTCGCGTCCGCGGACGGCGCGTCGAAGACGGGCAAGAACCTGGCGAAGCTCGCCGACGTGCTCCGGAGCCACATCGGCCACGCGGGCGGCGCGGAGACGCCGACGGCGCTGAACATGGCCTTATTCTCCGGCTGCAAATTGCAGGTGAAGCCGTCCGCGTGGTCCGGCGACGACCAGAAGGACGTCTCGGAGGTCATGCTCGTCCTCAAGTGGGGCGGCGTTTTGACGGAGCTGGGGGTGGAGCACGCGACGGCGCTGGGCGCCCACTTCCGGCGCCACGTCTACCCGGCGAGCGAGGACGGCGCGGGGCTCTGTGTGGAAATCAACCACTGGTTTGGGGGGTCCCCCACCAAACTTCATCTCAGTCAAATCGAAGTCGATTCGGCTGATTTTTGGACGGATCGATTGCTCTCGTCGAGTTCTCGAAGCACAGCGAAGAGTCTGGTCCAAATCGTTCGATTACGCGCACATTGAAGTCGGGTTGAAGATTTGATTTCCACGCAGGCGGGGCTGCTGCGGCTGCACGCGACGTTCCGCCACGACCTAAAAATTCGCACGTCCGACGAGGGCCGCGTCATGAAGACGGGCGCGGCCTTCACCAAGGGCCTGCTGGAGCTCGAGGGCGACATCTCGCCCATTTTAGTGTCGCTGATCCACCGGGGCCGGAGCGACGTGAACATGCTCGACCGCGCGGGCAACCACGAGGCGCAGGAGCTCTTGGCGCGCGCGAAGGCGCACGTCGAGCGCACGTTCCAGGTCGACGTGGATTTGGCCGGCGACGACTCGGGCGACGACGACGCCGCGGGCAGCGCGTCGGCCCGCGGCGCCGCGCGGCGGTGCATCGCGCCCGACGGGCCAGACTCGGTGCTCCGCGCGCTGAAAGCGCTGGGCAACCCGCGGCGCGCTTTGGACGCGCTCTACGACCTCGTGGATGGGTTGGTCGCGGCCGTGGAGGCCCACTTCGGCCACGACTGCGCGCTGACGCTCTACATGGGCGAGACGTTCCGCGTCTGGCTCGACTCGGGGCGGCACAAGAGAGCGAAATGCCCAACTTCAAAGGCTCCTAGCTCGGCCGTTTTCCACTCGTTTCGGCTGATTCTTGGACGAGCGATCATCCCTCGGAACGGTCTCTCACCGTGGGTGCTTTTTCCGGAACGCGCGCGCGCGGAACACTCGCGTTGAAGCGACGTCGAATCACCCTCGTGCCGCCCAGGCTCGACTCGTGGCAGTCCGTGCGCAAGGAGCTGAAGCGCGACAACAACGACGCCGCGCCCTACGACCTGTCGAAGATCCCCGAGATCTTCGACAAGGTGCGCTTCGACGCGCGGCACAACGCGAAGAAGCTCGACCTGCGCCGGGTCTACCCGCGCTTCGACGATTTGGTGAGCCGCGCGAAGACTTTAAGCGCGGCGGTGACGCCCCTCGAGTTCGGCGGCGCCGCGGACGCGCGGCGCAACGCGGCCTGGCGCGTGTCCCGCGCGCTCCTCGACAAGATCTCCCAGGACCTGCACACGGCGCGGGGCGGCTCCGGCGACGCGAACGCGGGGCTCCACTTCCAACTGGACGACGACCCGCAGCACCTGGAGGATTCCGAGATCAAGTCGAGCTGGCGCGCGGTGCGGTCGCGGCTCTACTTCACGTCCGAGTCGCACCTCCACGCGCTCCTCGCGGCGCTGCGCCTCCCCGCGGACCCGGCGAACGGCGCCTGCGCGTGCCCGCGTCCCTTTTATTTCCCCGAGAGACCGCGTCCGGTGACGAGACCACACCGCGCTTGGCCTGATCCACGGCTCCGGCCGATGAAGACAGACCGGCAAAACCTTCACTTTGACCCGAGGACGTTTTTATGTTTCGACCCCGCCCCCGCCGCCGCGCGCGTCCCGCGAAACCATCGTTCCGTAGGCGCGTCGCCCGTCGACGACGACGGGCGCGCGTGGCTGTCGAGGATCCCCGAGCTCTCGTACCTGAGCCACATCGTCTTCCGCCTCTGGGAGAACATGACCGTGCCCGAGGACGCGCCCAACGGCGGCGAGCGCTACATGGTCGAGATCGCCTTCTCGCCGGGCACGCCGTTCGCGCCGGGCGCGCCGTCCGCGCCGGGCGCGGAGGCCGCCGCGCCCGCCAAGGCCGGCGGCATCCAGCCGCCGACGCTGCCCCTCGAGCCCTTCGCCTACGTGCCCTCCGAGAAGCTCGAGGCCTACTTCGAGGCCCGGCCGAGCTCCACGGCCGAGGAGTGCATCGCCGCCGCGGCCGCGAAGTACGACGACCTCGCGTCGCAGCTCGAGCGGCGCGCCAACGGCGGCGAGGACGCGACCGTCGACGCGCCGCCGTCGCCCTAAGCGTGGCGGGAGTCTTCGGGGGCGGCGCGGGCGGCCCGTCGCGCGGGGGTGGCGCGCGCGCGGACGTCGTCGTGGTGGTCGACGCCGACGGCGCGAGGCTGGCGCGGCTGTGGAAGCGGACACATCGCCCACTTCCGCAGCCTCGCGCCCGCGGTCGTCGCGTCGCGAAGCGCCACCTCTCCGGCGTCGTCGTCGTCGTCGCGTCGCGAAGCGTTCACATCTCCGTCGCCGGCGTCGTCGTCGCGGCGAGGATGGACCGCAGCAGCAAGAAGGCGCGCCTCGACCTCGGCGGCCAGGCGGCCATGAGCGCCTACGGCGCGCCGGCGGCGAGCGGCCTGAACCCGCTGACCATGCGGCCCTGGAGCGGCCGCTACCACAGCATCCTGGCGAAGCGCAAGGAGCTGCCCGTCTTCGGCTTCCTGGACCGCCTCCTCGACGCCGTCAAGAACAACCAGACCGTCGTCGTCGAGGGCGAGACGGGCAGCGGCAAGACGACGCAGATCCCGCAGTTCCTCGTCGCCGACTACGCGAAGCAGGGCAAGTGCGTCGCGTGCACGCAGCCGCGGCGCGTCGCGGCCATGTCCATCGCCCAGCGCGTCGCCGACGAGATGGACGTGAACCTCGGCGACCAGGTGGGCTACAGCATCCGCTTCGAGGACAACACGGGCCCGCAGACGATGCTCAAGTTCATGACCGACGGCATGCTGCTCCGCGAGGCCATGACGGACCCCTTCCTCGAGCGCATGTCCGTCATCGTTCTGGACGAGGCCCACGAGCGCACGCTGAGCACGGACGTGCTCATGGGTTTGCTCAAGGAGCTGCTGCTGCAGCGGAAAGATTTACGCTGCGTCGTCATGTCGGCGACGCTCGACGCGGAGAAGTTCCAGGAGTACTTCGACGGCGCGCCGCTCCTGCGGGTGCCCGGCCGGACGCACCCGGTAGAAGTCTTCTACACGCCGGAGCCCGAGCGCGACTACGTGGAAGCGGCCGTGCGGACCGCGGCGCAGATCCACGCCTGCGAGGCCGCGGGCGACATCCTCGTCTTCCTCACGGGCGAGGCGGAAATCGAGGACGTCTGCGCGCGGCTCCGGGGCGAGGCCGCCAAGGTCGGGCCCGAGCGGGGGGAGCTCGTCGTCTACCCGCTGTACTCGTCGCTGCCGCCGCGCGCGCAGAAGCGCATCTTCGACGCGGCGCCGGGCCCCAAGTTCGCGGGCGCCATGCCCGGCCGCAAGTGCGTCGTGTCGACGAACATCGCGGAGACGTCGCTGACCATCGACGGCATCGTCTACGTCGTCGACCCGGGCTTCTCCAAGCAGAAGGTCTACAACCCGCGGATCCGCGTCGAGAGCCTGCTCGTGTCGCCCATCTCGCGCGCGTCGGCGAAGCAGCGCGCGGGCCGCGCGGGCCGCACGCGGCCCGGGAAGTGCTTCCGGCTCTACACGGAGGCGTCGTTCAAGGCGGAGCTCCAGGAGCAGACCTACCCCGAGATCCTCCGGTCGAAGATGTCGAACGTCGTGCTCACTTTAAAAAAGCTGGGCATCGACGACCTGGTCCACTTCGACTTCATGGACCCGCCGGCGCCCGAGACGCTCATGCGCGCGCTCGAGCTGCTCAACTACCTCGGCGCGCTGGACGACGACGGCGCGATGACGGAGCTCGGCCGCCACATGTCGGAGCTGCCCCTGGACCCCCAGCTGGCGAAGCTGCTGCTGGCGTCGCCGGAGTACAAATGCTCCAACGAGGCGTTATCGGTCGTCGCGTGCATGTCCGTGCCGTTGATCTTCCAGCGGCCCAAGCACAAGCAGCGCGAGGCCGACGACTGCAAGGCCCAGTTCGCGCACGTCGACGGCGACCACTGCACGCTGCTCAACGCCTACCACGCCTACAAGCACCACGGCTCCGACGCGGGCTGGGCGACGGAGAACTTCCTGAGCCACCGGTCCTTGGCGTCCGCGGATTCCGTGCGGAACCAGCTCTCGCGCATTTTGGAGCGGCTCCAGGTGCCCATGGTGTCGACGGACTTCTCGTCGCCGGACTACTACGTGAACCTGCGCAAGTGCGTCGTCGCGGGCAACTTCCTGCAAGTCGCGCACCTCGAGCGCGGCGGCTCGTACCTGACGATCAAGGACAACCAGGTCGTCGCGATCCACCCGTCGTCCGTGCTCGACAACAAGCCGCCCTGGGTCTGCTTCGAGGAGTTCGTGCTGACGTCCCGCAACTACATCCGCACCTGCACGGCCGTCGAGGCGCGCTGGCTCTGCGAGATCGCGCCCCACTACTACGACCTCGCCAACTTCCCGAAATGCGAGGCCAAGGCCGAGCTCGAGCGCACCTACCGCACCATGCTCAGCGAGCGCCGGGCCAAGTAAGACTAGAGGCGATGGTGGCGCCCGGGGCCGGGCTTTACTCGGGACGAACCGAAGACTACCTTTGATTCAACACCGCTCGTAGTTCAGGCGCCGCGCGAGCTGGCACATGCGGGAGTCAATGATGATGTCGCTGCCGATGCGCGGAGCATTACCTGGCACTCGCAGGGCCGTGGAGAGGATCCGGACGATGCGTCGCGAAAGCCACCACGAGATTAGCTCGTTCGCGTCGTCGTCGCAGACCTCGAAGCCGACACGGGGGCCCTGGAACCACTGGATCATTTTGCCATCCGTGGAAGACGTCCGCTCCCAGTTGAAATCGCGAGGACTCAAGAACTCGTGAGCTGACAGAGGAACCCCGAGCGTGCGGCGAACAACGTCCTCGTTGGCCTCGTTGGCCCGGACGTTCGCGTCATCCTCGCGATCGGCCGCCGTGCGAACTGGCTCCATGTTCGGCCCAGCAGAGGGGCGCTCGACGCATCGGACGCGGTGATTCGACCAGTCTTCGCGCTGGCAAGCTGTAGAGCAATAGCGTCGACCACCGCATCGCGCGCAGACTTGGAGCGCTTTCGCCGTGAGCGGTAAGCGCTTCGCGCACGTGTCACAAGTCCGCCGCTGGAGAGCTGATTCGTCGAAGTCCACCGTCTGCAAATCAACGGGATGTAAGCGGCGCGAACTCTTTTCTAAAATTTGGATAATCGCGTGGAGCACGTGGACGTACCGAACCGGCGGCCGCTTGCGCGACTCATACATGGGCCTCCCACGGAGGTCCGTCGACGTCGCCTCTGTCCCGTCGCGCGCGGCTTGTGCCAAAACCATAAGTTCCTTGGTCCAGATCTCGAAGAGATCCAGGCAATCAAATTCCCTCGAGACGAAACGCACACCGGCTTCGCGCATGGCTGCCCCGAAGAAGGGCTTGCAAGCGTGCGCAGCGTAATGCTCCTCTAGGGCTCCACTTGGGCTTTGACGCCCACCGCGATACGCTTCGACTTCGTCGTCGAGGCCAATCGATTCGAATGAAGGAAGCCGCTCAAGCTCGAGGCGGCTAGCGACGGGCCGGTCCATTGCCGAGACATCGCGCTCCATTTGACCGCTGTAATTGTCCAGGGTGAATTCGAAGCAAGTCACCAAACATAATCGTCCGCAGTCCGGGCACTGGCTGTCGAATATCACCGTGCGCGTCGACAAGACGTTCAGGCTGTGGTCGACCGGGATCGTATCGGCTTCTGGATCAGATCCCATGGCCGGCCCGGCGAAATCACATTCTTCGTAATTGACGCCGTCTTTCATACAATCCGGGGAATTGAAGCGTTCCCCGTAGACTGGCACCTGGAGGTATGCGAGAGCGTCGCCCACCGTCTCACTGGTCAAGCCGTCGTAGACCTCGGCGAACTCCGACGCCTCGTCGTCCGACGTCGGAACATCATCATGCCGCTGTCGTGCGTCGTCGTCCGACGGCTCATGGTCAGACGAGTCCGAGTCCGAGTCGAGTGGTTCCTCGACGATGGCTTCGCGGAGTCCCAGCCTCTGCGCTTCGGCTGAACCTAAGTCGCAACATATGGTGCGGCCGGACTCGACATCTGCCGGCATCGATCCAGCATCGCGGAGCGCGTCGTAGCGGGCCGCGCAGGCCTCGCGGAGACAGTCGACGCGACGGTCCGAAGCGGCGATGTCGCAGAGGATCTGAGAGTCACCGCCGCGCGCGCGGGTGAGCACGGTATCGCAAAAGCCGACCAGGGCCGATGCGATCGCGTTCAGTGCGCCGGGCGCGAGGATCGAGACGCCGGCCTGACGCGTAAGCGTTATTAGCGCCTGACGGATCGCGGCCTGCGGCGTCGGCCCGTCAATTGCCGCCTCACACCAGGACACCGACGGTCGGCTCGGTGCCGCTGGCTCGACGCGGCAGAATTCGCTCGGAGGCGGGCGTTGCTCCCGGACTCGCGTAGGGTGAGAGCCTTCCGCACGTGGGCTGCCGACGCATGCGGCGCAGGAGCAGCCGCTCGTCCGTCGGCGGCCGGCGAGGCGATCCGCGCCCGACATCTCGATGACAGCGTCGATGTCGCCCGCGTGTACGCAGATAGACCCTCGATGGACCGCGTGGAGCATTGCATCTTCACCGATCCGCCGCACGAAGTCGCTCGCGGCCTCGCGCAAAAGCGCCGACGCGCGCGGTGCGATCCGCGGAGTAGCAAATTCCTCGATCACACAAAGAATGTCTGGAGCGAGCCGCCGCGCCAGCGGGTGCGCGCCGCGCCGCACACCACAGCAAGCGACGAGCATGACGTCGAATGCGCGCCCGGGGAAAGCTGGCGTACCACCGCTGAGCCTTTGCTCGCGTCGCATCTGTACCGCAGAATGGTGCAACAAGAAATCCATCGGATCGGCGCGTGCGAACCAGACCAGTCTCGCCCCCCTGCAGGCTTCATCAATAGTGCACCGCATCGGCGACTCGATCGTGGGGTCTGCGCAATTCGTCCGGCGAGCTTTGGGCCTGCATGCCGGCATGTGCCGGCCTCACTTGATAGGATCACGCCGTCGGCTCGCGAGGCTCGCGAGATGGCATCGCAGAGGCCTTCGCACGTGGAGAAATGCGGGCGCCGATCCCCGGGGCCCGGTGTCGGCGCGACTTACCCAGCCTGAGGCCACAAAAGCAAGTCCCCGCGCTCCGCCCGCGAATTCGCCGCCCCCCCGCCGCGCGCCTAGAGCTTGCGGAAGCCGGAGTCGTCGAAGTCCGCGCCCTTGGCGACGCCCGCGTAGGTCGCCGGCGGCGTCTTGAGAAAAACGTGGAAGAAGACGCCGAGGAACGTGAGGACGATGCCCAGGCTGATGGCGACGTAGCCGCGGCCGGGCTTCGTGTCGAAGAAGTCGGAGCCGACGTCGATGCAGTTCGCGTTGAAGCTCAGGAGCGCGCTCAGCGTCGACACGAAGCCGAGCGTGCCCGTGACGATGCCCAGCGTCTTCTGGCAGTTGCGGTCGCCGTAGCGGCTGCAGCGCTGGACGTACGTGCAGATCGTGGGCACGTGCGTGACCGCGGCGATGATCGCCGTCTGGACGATGCCCCGTGCGCTGTCCTTGCAGTCTTCGCAGTCGTCGCCGAGCTGGGGCAGCGCGTCGCAGTCGACGTTCTTCCAGCTCACGTCCGTGACCTTGTCGCCGTTGTCGTAGATGACGAGCTTCGAGAGGCCGAGGTAGATCTTGCCGCCGCCGAATTTGCTCTCGCCGATGGACCAGGCCGTCTTCCGCACGAGCTCGGGGTCGCCGCTGATGGCGAGGCAGGCGAAGATGCAGAGCAGGCCGCCGGCGACCGCGAGCACCGTCGCGCCGCCCATCCAGTAGTGGCGCCGGACGCAGCAGGGCCGCTCGAAGCCGAGGCGGCCCACGAGGCGGCAGCAGCAGCCCTTCTCGAGGCAGCCGTGGCAGCGCGGGAAGTTCTCGGGGTCGATGCACGGCGGCAGGTTGTCGCATTTGCACCCGGGGTCGTCGTCGTCGGGGGGCTCCATCGGGCTCTCCCCGGGGCAAATTTGAGACTGCAACGATGCCGGAACATCGGCTCAGTCGATGAGAGAGCGCATGGTATAGCTGCGCGTGCGTGTCACTGCTTGTGCTCGCAGCCCTTGGCAGCCCGATGCGCGCGCTTCTCCTCGTCGGCTGCCTCGCCGTCGTCGTGTCTCTGGCACCGGCTCCGAAGCGCACCGTCGCCCGTCGCGCGGCGCTCCTCGGCTTCTCCTCGGCCGCCGTCCTCGCGCCGGCCGCGGCGCGGGCCGAGGACGTGCTGGAGACGGCCGGCAAGCTCGTCACCGTCCTGAAGCCGCTCTACGGCTTCGAGGCGCCGCTCCAGGCCGGCGCCTACGACAGGGCCGCCGTGCGCGCGCGCATCGAACGAGACGTCCGGAGCGGCCCCGTCGTCGTCTACTCGTACACGCTGTCCCCCTTCTGCACCGAGGCCAAGGCGCTCCTCGCCGCGCAGGGCGCCAGGGTCACGGTCATCGAGCTCGGCGACGGGGGGAGTGGGTGCCCGGCCTGCTGCCCGCGGACGGCGCCGCGGTCCGCGCGGAGCTCGGCGCGATGACGGGCCAGACGAGCATGCCGCACGTCTTCATCGGCGGCGCGTCCATCGGCGGCCTGGCCTCCGGCACGCCGGGCCTCAAGGCGCTCCTCAGGGACGGCAGCCTGCGCGACAAGCTCGAGGCGGCCGGCGCGTTGTGAGCTCCGGTGAGGGTCGTCGAGGCGCGTAACGAGGAGGAATAGTGCGCGTGGCTGCGCCGGCGACGAAGGGGACGACGCTCGCCCGACGACCCGGCGAGCTCCCGCGACGCGTCCCGAACCCGAGTCCCCGAACCCGAGTCCCGAGGCGCGGCCCCGCGGGCGGGCTCCGGAGCGCGGCGCGCACGTCTTTAGGCTTGGGGAGGAACGGCGCGGCACACGGCTTGATCGCACGACGGGGCGTCGCCGACTCGGGCGACTCGCGGGCGGGCGGCGGCGGCGCGGCGCCCGGCTCGGGGCGGGGCCGCGCTCACTCCTCGGCGTCGGCCTCGACCTCCTCGGCCTCGCTCTCGGTGGCCTCGGCGACCTCGGGGGCGGCGGCCTCGACGGCGGCGGACGCGGTCGCGTCGGAGCTGAGGATGTTGTTAAACGCGTCTTGGATCCCGGCGATGGCGTCCTCGAACGGATTGCCGCGGACGACGACGGCGGGCGCCGCGCGGCGCACGGGCGCGACGAAGGCGCCGGAGGCGCCGAGGCAGAGGGCGACGACGATGGATTTCAGCTGCATGGTGCGGGACGACGTAAAAACCTGCGCGCGAGTTTGAATGGATGGCGTCGCAGCGCGCGCCGCGAGTTCCCCGAGTTCGCGCGCGTCGCGCCGCTGCGTCGCTGCGACGCTCTCGTGCTGTGGTCCAAAGCTCGCGCGGGCGCGGTCGCGCGACGGGCTCGAAACGGACGCTGCGCGTAGCACCGTTGAGTGAGAATCTTTGGAGAGCCGAGGGCCTCTGCTTTTGTTCGGATCTCGTCACCGATTCTTGAACGCGGGGGCCCGGGCGGTCGCCGCCAAAGATGCCGCCCGGTGCCGCCATGCTGCCCCTCGGCGTCGAGACGATGATGATGCTCGCGCTCGTCGTCGCGGCCTGCGCGGCGACGCCCGCGCCGTCCCCGGCCCCCTGCGGCGCCGGCGCCTACTACGACGACCTGGCCTGCGCCGGCGGCGATTGCTGCCGCTCCTGCCCGGCGGAGGGCGCCCTCTGCGACGCCGAGGCGACGCTGCTGAGCGCCCTGCCGCTCGCCGCGGGCTACTGGCGCGCGGCGGCGGACAGCGCCGAGCTCTTCGAGTGCGCGCGGCGGTCCCACTGCGACGGCGGGCCGACCGTCGGCGCCTACTGCGCGCGCGGCCGCGGCGGAGCGCTGTGCGGCGGTTGCGCGGGCGACTTTTCGAGAAGCGGCGACGGCGCGTGCGCGCGGTGCCCCGCGGCGCCCGGCGGCGCCGGGCGCCTCGCGGCGCCGCGCGTCCTCGCCTGGCTGCTCGTCGCCGTTTCGCTCGGCGCCGCGGCGCGGCGCGCGCGGCGGGCCGTCGGCGCCGAATCGCGATTGGCGCCGCGCGCGAAGCTCCTGTTGGCCGGCGCGCAGATCGTCGGCGCGACGACCTGGACCCTCGAACACTGGCGGCTCCCGGCCTGGTTCCGCGCCGTCGCCAAGGCGCTCAACGTCCTCAACCTCGACGCGGACGCGCTCGTCGCGCTCGGCTGCGTGAGCCGGCGCGACTCCTACGTCGCCGCGCTGCCCTGGGCGACGCTCGCGCCCATCGCCGCCGTCGGGTGCGTCCACGGGTTGTCCGCGCTCGCGCGGGGGCGCGTCGCCTTCGACGCGCACTGGTGCTCCGCGGCGATCTCGTTCCTCGCGCTCCCGGGCGGCGCGCAGGGCAGGAAAAGGGCGATTCAACGTCGCTTCAACGTGAGTGTTCCGCGCGCGCGCGTTTCGGAAACAGCACCCACGCTTCGAGAGCGCTCCGAGAGATGATTGCTCGTCCAAAAATCAGCTGAAACGAGCGGAAAACAACCGAGATAGGAGCCTTTGAAGTTGGGAATTTCGCACCCTTTTCCTGCCCAGGCGGCGCGCCGGCGGCCGCGCGCGACTCGCGCCTTCGAGCCGACTTCACCGCGAGCAATTTCGACGCAGCTTTCTGCGCTCTCCGTGGAGCACTCGATGAGCGCACACGATCCGTCCAACATTCGGCCGAAGCGACGTCGCTCGAGCACGTCAAAGTTTGGTCGAAACGTCCCGAACCCCGCGCGCAGGCTGGCCGCGCTCCGCTTCTGGCGCTGCGAGTCCTACGACGGCGACGCCTTCCTGGCCGCCGACGTGTTCGTGCGCTGCGACGGCGCGCGCTACGCGAGCTGGCGGCCCTACGCGGCGCTCATGGTCTGCGTCTACCCGGTCGGGATCCGCGTGGAACTCAGATCTTCAACACAAATTCAATGCGCGCGTATTCGAAAGGTTCGACGCAAGCTCTTCATGGTTGATTTCCGCGCAGGTCGGGATCCCGGTCGCCTACTTCTGCGCGCTCTTCCGCCACCGGCACCGCCTGAACCCGCGCGTGCCGCCGGCGAGCCGGACGCTGCTGCTGGCGGCGTCGACGCCGCCGGGCCAGCCCCGGGCCGCGTCGCGGCGCCGCGCCGCCGTCGTCGACGCCGCGCGCGACGGGCTCGTCGCGCTCGACGTGCTCGCGCAGCGGAAGCGGGCGGGCGCGCTCCGCTTCCTCGTCGACGAGTACGCGCCGGGCGCCTACCTCGGCCCCGCCGCCGAGGCGCTCCTGCGCGTGGGCTTCGCGTGCGGGGCCTGCGCGTCGCCGCGGCGCGCGGCCGTCGCGGCGCTCGCGGCGCTCGCCGCGGTCGCGGGCCCGTGCCGCGACGCGGCGGACCCGCACTACGACGGCGGCGACGCGGCCGTGGCGCGCGCGGCGCTCGCCGCGCTGCCGCTGCTCTTCGTTGGCGTCCTCGCCGCGGGCGACGGCGGCGCGCCGCCCGGCGCCGCGCACGCGATTTTAGCGCTGGCCCTCGCCGCGCCCGCGGCGGCCGCCGCCGCGGCGTTCCGGCGCGACGGCGCGGCTCCGACGCTCCTCGAGCAGGCGGCGTCGCCGAGCTCGCTCTGCACCGTCGCGGACCGGTGGTGCGAGAAGTTCCCGGCCATGGGTCGGCGCGCGCCGTCCGACGCGTCCGTGCTCTCGGGCTTCGAGGTCTCGGCGCACGACAGCGACTTCGACTACGTGCAGACGCGGCGCGTCGTCGACCGCGCCATCTCCTCGGCGGACTCGTCGCCCGCGGCGCCGCGGCGCGACCCCGCGGCGCCGCCGCCGCCCGACGACGGCGGCGGCGACGAGCCGCCGGGCCTGCTCCTCGCGCCGACGCCCGTGGCGAGCTTCCTCGACCGCCAGCTCGCCGACGGCGGCGGCGCCTTCTTCGACGCCGGCGACGCCGACTCCCTCGACAGCCTCGACCACGCGACGTTCATCGTGCCGCCGAGTTCGCCGTCCGCGGCGTCGCCCGAGAGCCCGACGCTCTTCGTCGCCTGCTCGCCGACGTCGTCGAGCCCGGCGACGCTCCGCGCCAGCCCCGCGGACCTCGCGGACCCCGAGCCGATCCGGCCGCCGTCGCCGCCGCGCGTCTACGACGACGGCGACGACGACGACGACGCGCCCTTCGCGGGCTGCGGCGCGAGCCCGACGAGCCTCCTCCGCTGCGCGAGCCCGCCTATCTAGGCCGTAAGTAGCGCCGCGGCGCGACCTCGACGCCCTCGACGTCGATCTGCCACACGCTGACGCCCCAGCCCCGCGCGGGCCGCGCGACGTCGAGCCGCAGGTAGCGGAACTCGACGCCGTCGTCGACGGCGAGCGTGTCGACGTGGTGGAGCTTGACCTCCCGGTCCGCGACGCCCGGCGACGCGGCGCCGGCCTCGACGGTCTCCCGCCTCGCCGCGTCCGTGGCCCAGTCGAAGAGGCGCACCCAGGGGTCCTCGCGCCGCCGCCGCGCGGAGACGACGTACTCCTCGGCGAAGGCGGCCTCCCAGTCGATGACGACCGTCGACGCCGCGACGTCGCGGCCCATGTCGACCTCGATCCAGTGCCTGCCCCTGCGACGGACGGCGCGGTCCCGGAACCCGCCGCGGCCGCGGGACGCCGGGCGGCGCGCTTGATGGCCGTGCCGCCCATGTCGCTCGCCGCCTGCCAGCGGTCGCGCAGCCAGTCGCTTCCCGGCGTCGCCTGGACGACGACGGAGCAGGGGCCGAGGTTGCCGCGGACGTCGCAGGTCGCGGAGACGCGCGGATCCCGCGTGAGCGACGCCGCCGCGTGCGCGGCGGCGTCGGCGGCGTCGTGGGCCACGAGCGCGTCTTTCACGGACCAGCTCGCGCCGCGCGCCGCGAGGGCGGCGGCGACGACGAGGCGCAGCAGCATAGTGGATGGAAGCCAGAAAGAAATGCGCAGCAGCCTATCGTGTGGGAAGTCGCGCCAATTCAGCAGCCTATCGTGTGGGAGGTCGCGCCAATTCAGCAGCCTATCGTGTGGGAGGTCGCGCCAATTCACTCGCGCGCGCACCCATGTCCTGTGGTAATTTTTGGTTGAACATCGTTGAACCCGCCTTGCACCGCTCGTTCGAGCTTATGGCCCCACGATTGCTGGGCTTGCTGGTCGCCCTGGCGTTGCGCTGCGCCGGCGTCGCCGCCTTCCACGCGCCGCTAATCACGCGCCGCGCCCCGCGACACCACACGCGACTCCTCGCCGCCGGCTCCCCCGACGACGACGCCGAGGCCCTCGTCCTCGGCGAGGCCGACGCCGTCGCGACGCTGGGCCTCGTGACGGCGCTCTGGGGGTCGCAGCACGCCGTGGCGAAGTGGGCCCTGGGCTTCGACGGCGGCGGCGCGCCGGCGCTCACGGCGCTCCGCTTCGCCGTCGCGGCGGCGGCGCTGTCGCCGTTTTTGCCGCGCGACGCGTCGACGTGGCGCGACGGCCTCGAGCTCGGCGCCTGGGGCTTCCTGGGCTTCGCCTGCCAGACCGTGGGCCTGGAGACGACGACGGCCTGCCGGTCCGCGTTCCTGCTCTACCTCAACGTGAAGCTCGTGCCCGTCAGGGCAGCACAAGAGAGCGAAATTCCCAACTTCAAAGGCTCCGATCTCGGCCATTTTCCACTCGTTTCGGCTGATTTTTGGACGAGCGATCATCT